CTTTTGTTCCTAGTTTCTTCAGGTCTTCTATCATGAAAGGGTGTTTGTTGAGTTTTGTCAAAGGCTCTCTCTGCATCTAGTGAGAGGATCATGTGATTTTTGTCCTTGATTCTGTTTATGTGCTCTATTACACTTACTCATTTGCATGTGTTGAATTATTCTTCTATCCCTAGAATAAAACCAACTTGATCATGGTGTATTTTTTTAATGTGCTGTTGAATTTGGTTTCCAAGTTAGGTTTTTTTTGTGGGGGAGGTTTTGGTGGGACTGGGTTTTAACTCAGGGCTTCATGCTTGCAAAGCAGGCACTCTACTGCTTGAGCCACAAATCCAGTTCATTTTGCTCTGGTAATTTCAGTCTCATGAACTATTTGCCTGAACTGGCATCAAATCATGATCCTCCTGATATTAGCCTCCCAAGTAGCTAATATTATAGGCGTGAGCCACTGGTGCCTAGCTTTCAAGTATTTTACTGAGAATATTTACATATGTGTTCATCAACGGAAGTGGTCTATAATTTTCTTTTTTTGTTGTGTCATTATCAGGTTTTGGTATCAGGATAATACTGGCTTCATGAAATGAACTCAGTAGCATTCCTTCCGTTTCTCCCCTTCAAGTACTAACCAGGCCCAACCACGCTTAGCTTCCAAGATGAGATAAGACTGGGCACATTCAGGGTGGTATGGCCATTCCTTCCCTTTCTATTTAATGGCATAGTTTAAGGAGCATTGGTGTTGATTCTGCTTTAAAAGTCTGGTCTTGGCTCTTTTTTGTTAGACGAGTCCTTATTATTGCTTCAATTTCATTGCTTATAATAGATCTGTTCAAGTTGTTTATAGCCTCTTGGTCCAATTTTGGTAAGTAAAATGCAACTGTAAATGTATCTGTTTCTTCTAGATTTTCCAGATTAGGTTATAAATTTTCAAAGTATCCCCTAATAATCCTCTGGATTTCATTGGTATTTGTTGTGACATCTACTTTTCCTTCTCTAATTTTATTAATTTCAGTCTTTTTCTCATTTTAGTCAGTATGACTAAGGGTATATCAATCATATTTATTTTTTCAAAGAACAAACTTTTTGTTTCTTTGTATTTTTTTAAGTTTCCATTTCATTATTTTCTGCCCTAATCTTTATTATTTTCCATCTACTGCTTTTGGTTTGGCTTCTTGTTTTTCCAGGAGCTTGAAAGTATATGATCGGGCTATTTATTTGAGATCTTGTATTTTTGGTGCATGCGCAGAGCTATAAGTTGTGTTTTCATTTTCATTAGTTCTAGGAATTTTTTGATTCCCCATTTCTTTGATGACTCACTGGTCATTCTGTCTCCATGTACTTAATATCTTCTACAGTTTACTTTGTTGTTGATTTCTAGTTTTATTCCCTTGTGGTCTGATAGAACAAAGGGGGTTATTTCAATTTTCTTACATTTGTTAAGACTTTCTTTATGTCCTAAAATATGATCTATTTTGGAGAATGTTCCATGGGCTGCTGAGAGGAATATGTATTGTGCAGCTATTGGATGAAATATTCCATAGATGTCTGTTAAGTCCATGAGGTATATATACACAATGGAGTATTATTAAGTCATAAAGGAGAATGAAATTATGCTGTTGGCAAGAAAATAGATGGATCATTATGTAAAGAGAAATGGATCCTTATGTTAAGTGAAATAATCCAGACTAAAAAGACAAATATTACATGTTCTGTCCTTATGTGGAATCTAGAACTTAAAAATTAATGCCAATCATGTAAAATACAAATTGTCTGGAAGTGATAACCAGTGAGAGAAGGGAGGACAAAGAATAAAGTAAAGGGGTTATGAGTATGATCGAAATATTTTATATACATGGATGAAAACAGAATAATGAAACCTGTTAAAATTATTTAAAAGGAGGGCAGAGAGGATGAGAAAACGCAATAGAGGTGGTGGATTTGATCAAAGTACATTATATGCATTATGCACATATGTAAATATCACAGTGAAACTCCTTTGTATAATTAATATCACTAATAAAAAAAATTGTCAGGCTGGGCCTGGTGGTTCACCTATAATCCCAATAAATGTGCCATTTGTTTTGTTTTGTTGAGATCTAACACACAGCATGGTAATTATAGTAAATAATAATGTATTTTACATTTCAAATTTGCTATAAATTACAGGTGGTCCATACCTGTAATCCCAGCTTTTCAGGAGGCAGATGAGTAGGATGGGTGGCAGTCTGAGGCTAGACTGGATAAAAAGATAGCAAGATCCCATGTCGACAAATAAGCTGGTCATGGTGGTAGACAACTGCTATCTTAGCTACATGTGAGATGTTAAGTAGGAGGATTATGGTGCTAGCCTGCCCTGATAAAAAAAATGAATACCCTATCTGAAAAATAACTGAAGCAAAAAGGGTTGGGGGCATGGCTCGAGTGGCACAGCACTTGCCTAACAAGTGCAAGGCTCTGAGTTCAAACCCCAGTACCACTAAAAACACAAAAAACAAATACAAAAAAAAGCTGCTAAGAGAATAAATTTCAAAAATATGTATTTTAGTTAATAGGTATATTATAAGCTTATTCTTTGTATTATACATCATATCATCACTTTGTACCCCATAAATATAATTTGTTCACTTATACTTTAAAAAACCAAGAGAAAGAAAAAGAAAGTGTTTAAAGAATAGCAGAAATAGAGAAGTCAGAGTGGAGTTTCCATTGACTAAATCTGGGACAGTTTAAACATCTAAATAAATAATGAAGTGATGGAATATGCCTCATTTAATACAATAAAAATCAGTTGAGCCCATATTAAAATAAACAAGTGAGTACATTGAAAGCGTGATGAGGAGTAAGATACATAGTCTTTGAAATATTCCACAAAACATTTATTAATTATAAAAGGAAAAACAGTAACTTATAGAAGAGAAGCCTGACAGACAGACAACTTCCTCATCAAGTACCAATGCAGTCATTACCACTAATGAAACACATTGAAATTGGGTTCTTGTGTGAAAAAATGCAATTAAGAAGAACAAAGCACAACTTCCGTGACATTCCTGCTAAAGCTAAAGAGTATAACCTGATTCTAAACAAAAAATAACATCAGAAAAATCTAAACTGAGGAACATTCTACACAGCGACTGACCTGTGATCCTCAAAAGTATCAATGTTTCTGAACCAAAAAAAAGTATCATCATAAAAATTAAATTATGAACAAGAAAAGATAAATGATAACTAAATAAATAATATGATTCTGGACTAGATCATTTTGCTATAAAAGTCATCAACGGGATGACTGGAAAAACTTGGCATTGGGTTTCAAAGTTAGATGGTATCAATGTATTAATTTCCTGGATTTTGACTGCCATATTATTGTACTGTAGGAAAATGTCCTTATTTCTAGGACACCCTATGTTTGCTACTGACTCTCAAACGGTTCTGGCAGCAAGGGAGTACTTTTTATGTACTTCCAGTTTTTCTATAAGCCTGAGACACATACAAATCAACAAAAATATGTAATCATAATTTTAGAAGTCAAAATTAAGGAATTTCTACAATGAAGTGTAGGTAAAAAATCATTTTTGAAATTATGCCAGAATACAATGAATGTCAACTATAACGCATAAAAAAACAGTGCTTTCAAAAGATAGTGAGGCTGACAAGGTCCATCCCAGTCCAAGGAAGTCTCTCAGGACGAGACAGTATGAGTATTCTCTAAAGCTTTCCAGTAATGCTAATGTGTAGTCAAGGCTGAGAACCACTGGCATTTGCCAGGCCCTGGAGACCGCAGATTAGGAATCTTCTCTGGCAAGTCTTCCTGGCCTCCCCCATGCCAGAGTTGATCACTTTCTTCCTGTACCTTGGACTTATTGGTTTAAATCATATTTTTAGTAATATTTTTATTTTTCACTAAAATATATTTCTTCTAACACAAGGATTACTATGTTATTCAGTATTACATCTTCCCTGCTCAGGACAGTGACTGATGCTTAACAGGCACATTAAAAATGATGATTTAAAAAGTAAGAAAAATAAGGAGGAAAAACAGGAAGGAAAAAAAAGGAAAAAATGAAAAGACTCGATTTCTTCCCTCAAGTAGTAAGTAGCTTACAGACAAAAATATAAAAAATCTGTAAATCAGAAAGAGCTGTCAGAAGGAACTTTGCAATTGCAGTCTTTTCTCTCTACATGTGCCCTACTAAACCATCCTCTGATACCAGAGTATGTTCTTGAAAATGTCTTATACTTAGAAGTGAACTCTGTATAGTTCTCTTTCTAAAAATATAAAACTCAAACCACTTTTCGTAAACTGGTTTGAGGCTTTGGGTGTTTTTTTCCTATAGGTAAAGGACTTGATGGAAAGCGACCTCCATCTTGCCACATACTTTAAAACCTAAACACTGGGTGCAGTAGCTCACATCTGTAATGTGAAGTGGTGATTAGGAGGATCAGGGTTTAAGGCCAGCGTGGGTAAAAAGTTAGTGAAATCCCATGTCAAACAAATAAGTTGGGCATAGTGGAACACATCTGTGATCTCAGCTATGTGAGAGACATAAGTAAGAGAACAGCAGTTTGCTAGTCTGGGGCAAACACACAAGACCTATCCAAAAAATAACTAAGACAAAAAAAGGGCTGGGGGCATAGCTCAAGTGGTGGAGTGCCTGCCTAGCAATTACAAGGCCTTAAGTTCAAACTCCAATATCAAAAAAAAAAAAATCCTGGAAGTATTATGGTTACTTTGTAAAGCCAGTATTTTTCTGTCTTCCAATACCAGGACCAGTAAAACTTACCAATATAATCACATATTAAAAAGAATAAAGGGGCTGAGGATATAGCTCAGTGACAGATAACTTGCCTGGCATATGTGAGGTCCTGGGCTGATTCCCCAGCTCCATAAAAAAATGAATTAAAAGTAAAAAAAAAAAAACAAAAAAACAAACTGAGGCAGAAATGACATATAGTCACTACTATTCAATTAAGTTTAAAAGTAAGTTTAAATATCTCTTAACACTTACCTTATCTGCACACATTGACACTTTAATGTCCTGTTGAGATATTTCATAATGTCGGATATTAAAAACATAATTACCAGCCAATTTCAAAATATCTGCTGAGATATACTCTAGCACAGCCACAATATATAAGGACACATGGTAGTCCACTTTATACCCTAAAATTTCCTGTGGAAAAAAATAAATAACTTAATTTTTAAAAATCACACTGTCTAAAGTTATCAGTTAAATACTTATAAATTCCTATTTAAGGGCTGAGGGTATATGTAACTCATTGGCAGAGTGTGTGCATGCACAAGGGCCTGGTCTCAACCCCCAGCACTGAAAGAAGAAAATTTCTATTTAACATCTTGCTTATTAAAAACTTCTTATAAACCAAATATCTCAACTTATGGCTAACAGAGGATATAAAAAGAGCCTTTGATCCTACTATTATTGGACTTTTTAAAAAGAGCTACCTAATCTAACAAGTCTACTATTTTACCAAACAAGAATAGTTGATGCTAACACAGAAATCTTGGGCTGGACTTCACTGAAAGCTTAACAAATTATCTGAAACCCATTTGATTAACATCTTTCTTCAAGGATCTTGCTTTGAAACCACTATCCCCTTATTATAACAGCTTCATTTGGAGGGAAGGATGTGTATGTGTGTGATGGTGGATTCTTGAAATTGCTACAAAAGGGTCTGCAAATCCATGTACACCCAAGCATATTCAATAGAGGATATTATCTAGTCTACTTATCCAATGTATATAAAGATATCTGCATTACAGATTAATTTAAAACAGTCCTAAACTCATAGTACTTTTGATATTATATATTTTTAAAATCAATAAAAGGTTGAAAATCATACCCTACTACATAAGAAGCAGTCAAGGTAATACTCGTAGGAAAATGCCACAATCCATTATCACAATTATTAACTTTTAATGTTATATGAAAGGCAATCTAATTTTATCAGAGTACATTTTTATTTTCTTCTTTCTTTTGAGAGGGGTGCTAGGGTTTGAACCTAGGGCCTCACACATGCTAAACATATCCCATACCATCAGCCTATGCCTCCACCCCCTATTTATTTGTACACATTCAATATACATATATGCACAAGTATATGCATGCACATGTACACCAATACCATACAAACATGGTATTACTTGTCATAAAGAATTCTCCCAATGTCTAATCTGCTATTACCTTCAATGAAGGATGGATTTTGTCCACAGGCAGCAAAAGAGGATTTCTTCGTTTTCGTTTCTCTATGGCAGATTGTGCATCAGCAATAGCCCACTTATCAATTGGATGAGGAAAGGTCTTTTGAACTCGTTCCTGTTTAGATTACACCAGGACCATTGCAGCATTAATGGAAGTGTTCATGAATAGAATATTCATACAAAATTCAATTTTGTCATTATCTTTAGTGCAAGCAGATAACAGTGATATAACATGTTCTGATTCCTTTACTAAACGAAATTTTTGTTTTTGTTTTTAAAAAGGCCAACAGGACTATCAAGATTTTGCCACATAATTACCATGGATAAAGAAAAAGTTAAAATTTAAAAGGTAGCTCAGTAGTAGAGCCAAAATAAACCTTTCCTCTTTTAAACTGTTTATGTCATATATTTTGTCATAAGGACCCAAACTGGTACCAAAGAAATGGAGTTACTGCTGTGACCACACCTGTGGTGTGGTTCTCAAGCCTCTGGAACTGGTTTGTGGAAGCGTTTGGAGAATTTGGCTAGAAAAAAAAGATGTACTTAGGATACTGTAAGCAGAGCTTAAAATGGGTGATTTTAGAACCTTGATATGCTGGTAGAAATGCAGACAGTGAAGACTGTGCTCATAACACTGCAGATGGAAATGAGGACTGTATTGGGAATTGGACTAATGGCCATTCATGTTACATTTCTCCAAGAATTTGTCTACATTTTATCCATGTTCTGAGACTTTGAGCAAGGCCAAATTCAGGTTTACAGTGACAATCAGGAGCGAAAAGCAGAGCAGAAAGATTTCAAAAATGTGCAGTTTGGTTAGAAAAAGAGTGTTTTAAAGTTGTGGACAAGGAAGACCTGGTTGTTAAAGAAATTAGTGCCAATAAGAAGAAATCAAGTACTTTGTACCAGGATACTAGAAAAGGTACCTTAAGACATCTCAGGAATTGGCCTATCTTCCCCTTCCCCTAAAAGAGAATCAAGGGTATAAAGGTTTTAACTCCTTTGAAATATTTTGCCTTGAAGAGAGAGCTACAAGGTGCCCTGTAGGTACAGGGCTGCCTAAAGAAGTGTTTAGGAAAGGCTTTTCCAAGGTTCAACTGGCCGGGCACTTAAAGGCCATTGAAGCAGTAGTGCAAAGGGCCTGATTACTGTTCGAACTAGCTGCAGACCCTGGCATCATCCACGAGATGCTGGTTTTATAGGCATGTACAATGCAAGAGTTATGGGATTATACAGGCTTCTACCCAGATTTCAAAAGAAGGCCTGGGAGACCAAGCAATGAGTAACAGGTTATGGATCCCTACAGACAGCCCCTAAAGGTGGTAATGTGTAAAGCTTTGAGGGTGAAGCCTAAGCTGCAAAGGAGACCCCAAGATGATGGAGATGCCAGGAACATAGAAAATCTGCTGAAAAAAGCCATAGGCAACAATAGAGCTAGCCTAAGAGAGAGGCCATATGGGTTCCAAACGGAAAGGCCATGACAGCAGGGCTGCCTAAGCCCTTTGGAACTCATATCACACCACCATGTACCCTGGATGCTGAACATGAAGCTACAATATTTCAGTATTTGGTCTGATGCTTCCTTGCTATCCTCCTGTTTCTCCTATTTGGAAAAGCAATGTTTTCTCTGTGTCACTACATACTGGAAGTGTGTAATTTTCTTTGTGATTTTACAGGTGTTCACAGCTAAGAGTATATCTTGAGTCTCAGATGAGATTTTGGACTTAAAACTTTTGGTGTATTTGTTTTGAGACAAGGTCTCACTATGTAGCCCAGGCTAGCCTTGAACTCCTGACTGAGACCACCTATCTTGGTCTCCTAAATGCTGGGATTACAGGTATGTACCATCATATCCACTGGACTGAAACTTCTGAACAATGCTGGAACTATTAAGACTTTGGGGACTCTTGGAGATGGACTACATGCATTTTTCATTAAGAAAAGGCCATAGGCCTTTGGTGGCCAGGGGCAGAATGTTATTAGTTTAAATACGAAACATACAGGCTCACATGTTGAGCGTTTGGTTCCTCAGCTGGTGATACTATTTTGGGAGATCCTAGAAACTTTAGGAGGTGGGGACTATTTGGAGGAAGCACAGGTGACTGGGGGCAGGACTCTGAAGGTTATACCTGGCCTCAAATCCCTACTTCACACCCTGCTCCTATCAGCCATGAGGTGAACAATCTCCTCCTTCAAATACTGCTGCCTCCTTGATGTTCTGCTGAAACTCATGGGATCATCAACCATGGACTGAACCCTCTTAAAATGTAAGCCGAAATAAACCTTTCCTCCTTGACAGTATTTTGATCACAGCTTCACAAAAGTAACTAATATACCCATTTTCTTATTGACAGAAATTTGAGCTGTTTGAAACTTTTGATTATTATGAATTAAACTGCATGGACTTTCATGTATAATTCTCTTCGTGAACATGTACTTTTACTCCCTAGGATTAAACAGAACTATTGGGTCATATTCTAGATGTATAGTTAACTTTACTAGAAACTGCCAATTTTCCAAAGCTGGTATATAACATTTTATATTCTCCCTTGCAATGTGTAAGAGTTCTAGTTGCTCTACATTCTCACTAACATGTGGTATAATTGATCTCTAATTTTGTTTATTTTTGTTAGTGTAAAATAATCTAGTATGACTTTGATTTTTGCCAAATACTTATGACCTTCAGCACCTTTTCGTGTACTGACTGGAAATTAGAATATCTTCTTTTATTAAGTTTCTGTTTTTAAGACTTTGGCTATTTGGGGGGAGGGTACCTTTTTGTTATTATTGATTCGTAGAAGTTTTTAACATATTCTGGCTGTTAGTCCTTTGTCAGTAATACATATTATAAACAATTTTCCCTTGTCTGTGACTTTTTTTTTTTTTGAGACATTCTAAGACAGGTTCTCGCTATATAGCCATGCTGTCATTGAACTTGTGATATTCTTGCCTCAGCTCCCAAGTGTTGGATTAAAGATATGTGTCCCCATACCCAGCTTGACTTGTATTTTTTTATTGTCTTATCAATTTTATTCTTTAAATTACTGTTTTCACTCCTCTCTAAAAAATTATTTGCCTAATCCCAGACTATGAAAATACTCTTCAGTATTTTCTTCTAGAAACTTTGTAATTTCAGTTTTTATACCTAAAGCTATGATCCCTTTTGAGCCAATTTCTGTCTATGTTGTGAGATAGGTTTCAAGGCTTTTCTCCCATAAATTTATCCAATTTTTTTTGTTTACTTATGCTTGCTGAAAACCCTTTCCTCAATGAACTGCCTTGATACCTTCATTAAAAATGGACTGACTATATATATCCCACAAAATGGGTTTAGTTTAGAATGATATACATTTAGATATTTAGAATAAATACAATAATTTAGAATGAGATACATTTAGATACAAAAGTTAACTAAATGGCTTATTGAAACAACCAAATTATTTTTACCTCCACATCTTGAACAGTCCTTGGTTGGGCCATACATAATTTATTAAGCAGCTGAAAAATCAACTCTTCAATATAATAGAGAGATTCTTCATTAGCTGAGAGATTGGGGTGTACTTGCTCCTGAACCTTTAAAAGAAAAGTTCTCAGTTTTATAATGCTGGGAAAATAATATGAAGTGGACGAAAATCAATGAGAATACTAATGTAATAAGTATTTTACTAGAATGATTACTCAAATACAACGTAAAACACAAAATGACAAAAGAAAACCCATTTGTTGGTCCATGTACTTTTTTTAGCCGCCAAAACAATGGTTCTTTAAAACCATTTTAAAAGCACATGCACATAAAATATTGTATATAATTTCAGAACAATCATGAATACCCTGAAGCCAAGTAAAAAAATCCACCACAAGTGTAAGAATATAGGTAATGAATAACAGCAATAGATCTATTTCTGAAAAACTACAGTACTTTTCAAATTACAGAGGGACTCTATGAAATAGCTGGTACTCAGATTTACAATGGCATAGGCTAGTTATGCTGAACTTTTTTTGTTTTTAAATTAATAATCCATTTTGACTGGACATGAGAAATACAGTAAGTAAAAGTGCTTAGCATATAGTAGGTGCCTTGTAAATATTTGTTGAAAGAACCTAGGTACTTTTTATGTATGGCATTAAAAGGATTCAACACCACACACACACACACACACACACACACACACACACACACACACACACACACACACACACACACACACACCACAATCTTGAATAGCTTTACATTTTAAAATATTGAATCAGCAATTATAAGCCTTTCCACAAGGAACTCATCAGAAAGTTGACTATTTCATCTAACTTCTCAAATTTTACCACAAAATTTTCCCTCACATCTGGATCACTTGCCCACCACCAAAACAACCAATGCCAAACAATGATCAGCTTCTACTTAGGCTTTGCCATTTCCTGAGTGGTCCACTACTAAACAAAATCAGGATTGAAAAATAGCATAAAATAGTATATTATAGTCTTTCATATTTTGTAAATCTATAGAATCTACAGTAAAATTTCTTCTTTTATTCCTAGCATTAATTACTTATGTGTTCATTCTTTTTCTTGCCGAATATCTTGGAGGTTTATCAATTATATTAATCTAAGAACCAAATCTTGGCTTTGTTGATTCTATTTTGTTTCATAACTGCTTTATATTTATTCTTTCTTTCTTTTTTTCTTCATTTATTTTGTAGTACTGGGGTTTGAACTCATGCCTTTTACCTTGAACCACTCCACCAGCACTTTTATTTTTGCAAGATAGGGTCTCACGAACTATTTCCTTGGGATTGGTTTTGAACCACAATCCTCCTGATCTCTGCCTCCTGAGTAGCTAGAATTATAGGCATGAGCCACCAGCTCCTGGCTATTATTTCTTTTTATGTTCTTTTGCAAATGTCTTGAAGTAAATACTTAGCTCATTGTTTTCTATTCTTTCTTTGCTAATATGTCCCTTGTTTCTAAGAACTACTTTTGTAAAAACTCAGATTTTTTAATTTATTTAGTGGCAGGGTCTCGCTATATGTGTTAGGATGACCTGGAATTTATTATATAGTCCAGGCTGGTCTCAACTTCATGATACTCCTTACGCCCTGAGTATTGAGATTACAAGGGTGTGTCACCATGACCAGCTTACATATGGGATTTTTAAAGTTTGTCTTTTTAAAAATTGATTCCTAGAATTGCATGTGGCCAAAAGACACACATTTTATGATTTCAATGTTTAAAAAATTTTTGAGTCTTGCATTATAGTCCATTATATGGAAATATTTGGCTTCACTGACATTTCAGGAAGAAATAAAAACAATCTTAAGCAAACTCACTCAGAAAATCCAAAAAGACTAAAACTCCTAAACTCATTTTGACATTAGCCTTAATATAAAAAGAAAGAGGCTGGGCTCTAGTGGCTCACACCTGTAATCCTAGCTACTAAGGAAGCAGAGATCAGGAGGATCATGGTTCAAAGCCAGCACAGGGCAATAGTTTGAGAGACCCTGTATCAAAACACCATCACAAAAAAGGGCTGGAGTAACACAAGGTAGAGGCTGAGTTCAAACCCCAGTACCACAAAAATAAATAAATAACTCATAAAGATGAAAATTATAGGCCATTTTCACTCTCATAAACTAGAAAGAAAAGTTTAAATTTTATACACATATACACAAACACACACCATGACCAAGTTTGATTTGTCCCAGGAAGATAAAGTTGGTTTAATGCTGGAAAATCAAGCCATATAATTCTCCATGTTAGCAGATTAGAAGAGAAAAATAATATGATCATCTCAATAAAGTATTTGAAAAAAATTCAATATTCACTCATGATAAAAAAAATGTCCTAAGTGAAGTTCCTTAATTTAGAGATTTTCTATAGAAAAGCTGCTATAGTCAATGCTAAAACAATGACACTTTTCCTTCTGAGATGAAGAAAAGGGCAAGAAACTTGCTAGTATCATTTTTACTCCACTTTTTACTAGAGGTCTTGGCCAGTATGGTACAATAAGAGAAAGAAAGGAAAGTATAAGAATTGAAAAGAAACTAATTTGCTAATGGTTTGATTATTCTTTATGACAGTTGCTTTTGGGGTGCCTAGATATTTGGTTAAGCATTATTTCTGAGTGTACCTGTGAAGGGGATTCTAGATGGGATTCCCATTTAAATTAGCAGAATTAATAAGGCAGATGGCTCTCCCCAATGTGGGCGCTCTCAATCTAATCTGTTGAAGACCTGGACATAATAAAAGTCTGAATAATAAAGTTTTTTTTTTTTCCTCTTTGTCCAACTGTATTTGAGCTGAGACTAAGACTGAGACTGGAATTTACCTCTTTAGCAATCCTGGGTCTAAGGCCTTCAGATTCAGACTACAACTATAATACTGGCTTTCCTGAATCTCTAATTTGCCAAACACAGACCTTGGACTACTCAGCTTCTGTAACTGCATGAGGCAATGTTCTTACACAGGTCTTTCAAAAATATGTATATGTATATACATTGTATCCTATTAACTATGGTTCTCCGGAATCCCCCAAAGGTAGACAAACCTATTGTAAAAAAATTATTTCAATTCATAAAAAAATAAAGTCTTAGCCAAGCACAGTGGTTGATGCTGTAATCCTAGCTACTTGGGAGAAACCAGGAAGCTCATGGTTCAAGGCCAGTCTGGGCAAAAAATTGTGAGATTTCCCCCATCTCAATCAATGGCTAAGCAAGATGGCACATCTGTCAACCCAGCTACAAAGGATAGCACAAATAGGAGGATTGTAGTTCAGGCTGGACCAGGCAAAAAGCAAGACACTATCTCAAAAATAACCAAAGGCAACAGGACTAGTGGTATGGCTCAATGGTAGAGCACCTGCCTAGCAAGCACTCAAGACCCTGAATTCAAACCCCCATACCATCCCACCTCCAAAATAATAAAGTTTTATTTTTATGTATCAGCAAAGCTAGAAAATAAAGTATTTCTAAGAATAATATTTATAAAAGCATAAAAAAGTATCATAAACCTTGAACTAAATCTTACAAAAGAGGTACACATAACCCCTAGGAAGAAAAGTAGACTGAGAGAAATTAAAGATCAAAATAAATTAAAGATAATGTCTTATCTGTGAATGAACAGACTTAAAATTGTTAATATATCAATTTTCCCCAAAATGATCCATAAAGTTATAGAATCTCAATCAAACCAAGCAGGTTGTTTTGCTGCAATTTCAAAATGTATTTAGAAAATTCTAAAGGCTTAGAAAATCAGGCACATACTCTTAAAGAAGTAGAAGTATTTGCTCTGATAGTTACTGGAATGTAGGCTACCAAAAAGAACATAACAAATCTTGGCAAAGATGTGGGGGAAAAGGAACCCTCATACACTGCTGGTGGGAAGGTAAATTAGTACAACCATTATGGAAAATAGTATGGAGGCTCCTCAAAAAACTAAAAATAGAACTGCCATATGATCCAGCAATACCACTCCTAGGGATATTTCAAAGGAATGTAGGTCAGGTTATAATAAAGGCACCTGCACACCCATGTTTATTGCAGCACTATTCACAATAGCTAAGCTATGGAAACAGCCAAGATGCCCCACTACTGATGAATGGATTAAGAAAATGTGGTATTTATATACAATGAAATTTTATTCAGCCATAAAGAAGAATAAAATTTTGTCATTTGCAGGTAAATGGATGGAACTGAAAAACATCATCTTATGTGAAGTTAGCCAGGTTCAGAAAGCCAAAGGCCACGTTTTCTCTCATATGTGGACTACAAACCCAATACAAATACAAACGATATTATGAAAAACAGGTCACACTAAGGGGAGGTCACATACAGAGGGAGGGTGAAAGAAGGAAGTTAAGAAAGTGAATATCTTTGATGTACTTCCTATTCAAGAATGAATATAGAATTTTTAAACCTGTTGAAATCACCTTAAGAAAGGAACTAAGGTAGAAAGGAGAAAAATAGAGGGGATGAACCAATTTGGGTTATAATACATACACACATATGGAAACGTCACAATGAAACACCCTATATAGCTTTTTTTTTATAAAACAGAGAACAGGAAGGCAAAGCAGGTCCTGTCTGGGGGGTTGGTACCAGTGGGAGAAGGGAGGGTACACGGAAAGGTTATAAAGAGGGTGAACGTGGTGGAAATATTACGTACACATCTATGTAAACAGAAAAATAAAACCTGTTGAAACCATTTCAGGAATAGAGAAAGGGGAGGATAAAGGAGAATGATGGAGGGGGTAAATTCAACTATGATATATTGTAAGAACTTTTGCAAATGTCACATTGTACCCCAAGTACAACAAAGAATGTGATATTGCTAAAGTGGCAGAGTACCTGCCTCACAAGCACAAGGCTCTGAGTTCAAACTCCGGTACCGCAAAAAAAAAAAAAGTGATATTAACATAACAGAAGAGAAAGAGATCAACAGAATAGAAGAGAGTATCCAAAAACAAGACTACAAAGATTTGGATCCCTGATTTACAACAAAGGTGATACTGTAGAGTATGGGGAAGTATAGACTTGAGGGAGGCAGCAGAAGGGATGAATGGTGCTGAATGAGTAGTACCTAAA